CCGCTTGAGCATTTTGACCCCTTGGGATCAGCTCTACTTCGAAAGATCTCAGCTTCGCAATTGTCGATTTGATCCTTGTGAGGTAAGCTGCCATTGAAGGCTCTTTAGCCTCATACTCCCCCCGGATCTGATTGGCGACCAGCTGAGAATCTGTCTTGAGGTAGACATGCTCGGCTTCCAACGATATGCACAGGTCTAAGCCAGCAATGGCTGCTTCGTATTCGGCCTCGTTGTTAGAGGCTTTGAATGAAAATTTTAGTGCATACTCGAAGGTTTTGCCTTCGGGAGAGGTGATGACGACCCCTGCCCCCGAACCGTTCACGGTGGAGGACCCATCCGTGAAGACGGTCCAGATTTTTCCTCCTTGCATCCAGAGTCTCCTGATAGGAGCACTCGGCCAAGAAGTCTGCCAAGGCTTGCGCCTTGATGGCTGTTCTCGGCTGATAACCGATACTGAACTCGGTGAGCTCGAAAGCCCACTTTGCTAGTCTACCGGATTTTTCAACCTTGCCGAGGACTTTCTCTAACGGCTGATCAGTTAGAACCGCTATTTGATGAGAATCAAAATAGGGTCGCAACTTCCGAGCAGCCACCACCACTGCATAAGCCACTTTTTCTAACAATGGGTAGCGCGTCTCGGCATCCGTCAGGGTGTGGCTGACGAAATAGATCGGCTGTTGAACTTTTTCTTCTTCCCTTAGCAGCACCGCGCTTACCGTGGCTGGACTGACCGCCACGTATAAGTATAGGATGTCTCCTACGACTGGCCTTGCCAGTGTTGGGAGTTGAGCCAGGTGTTCACGGAGCTGCTGAAAGGCTGACTTTTGTTCGTCTCCCCATTCAATGCCTTTTGAATTTTGGAGCTTCAGCGCCTTGAAGAAAGGGAGCCCTTTGTCTGAGGCTCGTGAGATGAACCTGGACAAGGCAGCCATTCTCCCGGCTAGACGCTGAATATCCCTTTTTGTCTTCGGCTCGGGGAGGTCTAAAGCAGCTTGTACTTTGGCGGGGTTTGCATCAATCCCCCTCTTGCTGACAATGAAGCCGAGGAACTTGCCTGACTTCACGCCGAAGACACATTTCTTCGGATTCAGCTTCATTTTGTATTTTCTGAGGGTGGCGAAGGTTTCGGCTAGGTCCGTGACATGATCTTTTTCTTTTATGCTTTTGACGATTGAGTCGTCAACATAAACCTCCATGTTTCGGCCTTTTTGCTCGGCGAAAACCTGATCAACCAACCTCTGATATGTTGCCCCCGCATTTTTCAATCCGAAGGGCATCATTCTGTAATTGTACAACCCGGAACTTGTTATGAACGCTGTTTTAGCTCGGTCCTCGGGGTGCATGAAGATCTGATGGTATCCCGAGAATGCGTCCATGAAACTGAGCAGAGCATGCCCGCTTGTCGAGTCGACCAGTTGGTCGATCCTCGGCAGCGGATAGGAGTCCTTGGGACATGCCCTATTCAGGTCCGTGAAGTCAACGCACATCCTCCAGTTACCATTTGCCTTCTGAACCATTACAACATTGGCCAGCCACTCCGGATACTGACAGGGTTCAATGAACCCAGCATCTAGGAGCTTATCGACCTCAGCTGCGATGTTCTGGTTCTTTTCGGCGGAGTAGTTCCGCTTTTTCTGCTTAATGGGTCGACTGGAGGGGTCGACATTAAGCCTATGGGAGACGAAGTCCGGATCAATCCCGGGCATTTCTGCGGCTGAGAAGGCGAACACGTCTCCACTGGCCCGTAGGAGTTGGACGAGTGCCGCACGGGTGTTTGGCTCCAGTGACGACCCGATGCTAACACATCTGTTCGGATCTCCTACGGTCAGTTCTATTGACTCGGTCAGGTCATCCGTCTCCATGCTCTTAGAGTTGGATTCCTCGAATTCCGGCCTGCTATCAATATTAGCAGACTTTCCTGACCGCGGCTGGCCATCAGAGTCGTTCGGCTCTGAGGCGGAGTCAGCCTTTTGGCCCCCATCAGATTTCTCGTTGTCTGGGGCTTCATTAGCCGAAACGTCTGAGCCTCTCGGCTTTTTGGCGTTTCGGTCCCGGTGCTTTTCCTCCCCATCGCCACGGTCGCCTCGGCGAGACGTGGATGGCTTGAGGTGATTGCATCGGCGGGCTTCTTTTTGACTGCCCTTTATTTTCTCGGAGCGTCCCTCGTCTGAAACGTATATCATGATTTGATGATACGTGGAGACGACTCCTTGAATGCCGTGAATGAGGGGTCTCCCCATGATCACGTTGTATGCAGATGGAGCATCTACGACCAAAAATTCGGCCATGATATTCCTAGCTGCTCGGCCTTCGCCGATGGTGACAGGAAGTGTAATCTTCCCGTCAGGATACGAGGAAGAGCCGTTGAATCCAGACACCGGGTAGGGTGCGGGGGCCAGGTGCTCGGCTCCCATCCTCAGCTGGTCGAACGCTCCTCGGAAGAGGATGTTCGCCCCGCTACCGCCGTCGACGAGGGTCCGCCAAACGTTGCGGTTGGCGATGCCCAGAATGATTACTAGTGGGTCATCGTGGGGGTATACCACCCCCTCACAGTCTTTGGCTGTGAACAGGATGTTCGGCGCCGGTGACTGGGACTGCCGAAGCTCAGCCTGATGAATCTGATGGGTTAGACCCCTCAGTTGGCGTTTGGCTGTGCCTCGCGAGATTCCCCCGGAAATAACTAGGATGTCGAGGGACTCCTTGCCCTGAGGTCCCTTATCCTTCTTCCGAGCGAAGTTGAGGTCCTGCCGAGAATCTTTTTCAGCTTTTTTCTCCTCGCGCCTGTCCGCGAGGTATTGGCTCAGGTACCCCTTGCGGACCAGATCCTCAATCTGGTCCTTCAGCTGGACGCAGTCCTCGGTGCGATGTCCGGGTGAGTCATGGAACTCGCACCACTGGTCCTTTCCCCTCGTCTGATGCCAGGGAAGCAACGGACGAGGTTTTTTGAATCTCCCCTCGTCCTTCGTCGTGCTGAAAATCTTAGCACGGGGAAGGGAGAGTGGAGTGTATGAATCGTACCTTCCCGTGTAGGGAAAGTGTCTTTCCTTCTTCGGCTCGGCAGCAGAGGACGGTTCTGAGGCCTTAGCCTTCCCTTTCCTCTGCGCCGAGACTTCGGGCTGCTGCCCTTTCGGCTTCTCAATTCTCGGACGAGACTGAGACCTGGATCTGTTCCACTCCTCGGCTCGGATGAACCTATCCGATGCTTCCAAGGCTTCCTCCAGGGTCTGCGGGGGATGCATGACCATGAAGTCCAGGAACTTTCCAGCTTGGAGGCCGTTCCGTAGCGCGAACACGGCCAGGCCTTGATCCAGGCTTGTGATTCCGGATGACTCGTTGCTGAAGCGAGTCAGATAGTCGCGGAGGCTCTCGTCCTCCGCCTGCTGCAGACTCATTAGCTCTGCAGTGGTCTTCTCTCGGCGGTTGGCCGTAGAGAATTTGCTCTTGAACTTGTTGGAGAGGTCGTTCCAACCGGTTATGGAGCCTTCCTTGAGCCCTTTGGTGATCCAGGATTGGGCAACACCTTTGAGGGTCGTAGGAAAGTATTTACACCAGGTAGCCTCAGACCTCGGGTTCAGATACATGTGCCCCTCGTAAGAGGCAATGTGATCCTTAGGATCTGAGGTACCATCGTAAGTAATATGTGCCGGGATTTTGACCGTTGGCACATGCTCTTCCAGAATCCACTTCTGGAAGGGCGAGTTCGATGGAACCATGACCGCCTTCCCCTTGTACCCAGCCTCAGGGACCTCGCTCCCTCCTCTCTCAGAGGTGGAAGTGGTTTTCGTCCCCGGCTGAGACAAGGTTGGGTGGGGTCCGGTATCCTCTGGGAAGGTGAGGCGGCTATGCACACTCACCTCCCTCGAACCCAAGCGTTCGTGAACGCTTTGGCGGGCGAATTCCGGGTCCTTGGAGGGCCCCATGGAATTCTGAGCTTCGGAGTGGTCAGAGGGTTGAGGGTTCCTCCTCCTCTCCTTACTGGAGTTTCGGGTGTCCCCTCGCCACCTCTGGCCGAGCTCTCTATGTGGTGGAACTTGTCCACCATCATCCTGACCGATCCTCCTTTTCAGGTTTCTCGGCTGGTGATCATCAGGCATCTGGATTGGAGCCCCTTGAGCTTTAAGGAACTCCATGCAGATGGCCACTGCTCTGGCCACTTCCTCGGTGGAGGGTCCGGAGGGAGGAGTCTCCCGCGGATGTGACCTGGATTGCACGCTATGGCGCGGCGGGGAGTTCCTCGCACCTGAGCCACTCGGTCTCGGGGATGGCCCCGGCTGCCGAGTGTGGTGCGAGGTGTTCTCCTCCTGGAGGCTAGGACCTCTTGAGGCTTCCCTTTCCGGAGAAATGGGGGCCTCCGATTCGGAAGAGGCTTGCTCCGGGGAGGGATAAACCGGCTGGCGTTCCCTCACCGTAATCCGGCCTCCTCCCTTCTTAGCCTTCTTGGAACTCTTTCCACTCTTAGTCATGGCGACTGCCGGAGTGTTTGATGACTGACGCGAAATTTAGTAGCGTTCCCCACAGACGGCGCCAAATTGTTTCGGATGAAAACAATCGAATCTCGGAAGATCCTTTTATCTTGAGGGAACTTGGTCTCGGTCCGAACAACGCAGGAGCCGAGGGTTTCCTGCACAACAAATACACGTAAACTAGCCTCGGGGGGGACGCCGAGGAAGGCCCCTCCGATGCTTAAGTCAGTATATTAGAGAGAGAAAGCTGTGCAAGAGTTTAGTTGCTTGAGGCTTTATTGTCTTACCAAGAATTGACCAAGTTGTTGGCTTTTATACCTTGGCTAATGAAGGAGGCGGATTGGGCCCGGAAGTCAGTTGGGCTGGGCCAAGCTGATTGGGCCGTTGACTGACCTTGACATGGCTTTGAGGATGTTGATTTTTGACTTTAGCACATTTGGAGAGTTGAACCTTAACCTTGGGCTTTTAATTGGATCATTCAGTGACCAGGCCCAATTGGACTAAATTGGACCCAAACAATTCGTATTTTATCAGCGGTTTATCGAATCAATTGCTTAATTGATTGTATGAGCTATTGATTACTGTGAATTGTATGATCAATTCTGTTGGTTATTGCTCTAATTGAGAAAGACATTCTGTGTTTTGAATTCTCCATCTGTTTTTTTTTAAACTGATAAGTCAATTCTATATATATTTTGGTGTTATAAAAGATTCTTAATGAGTTTTTTTATGCATTATTACTGCATCATGAAAGCATTATTACTGCATTCTCCTCTGAATGTCGCAGCCGACTACGAGATAAAAGGCTTTCAGTATTTCTCATTTATCATACTTGAAATGAGGCCCTATTCACTAAATATCCTAACAGAAATGCCCCTAAATGAGTTTCAATCCTATGCTTCTAAATGGGTTCAATTGAGAAATATCAAGCTTCCTGTATTTTTCACTAAATAGGCACTCAGGTTCTGTATTATTTTGGTGAGCCAGTCATTTGAAAGATTTTGCCAAGAAACATCTGCAAATATGTCAATTTGTGTTTTGTGATACTGGTGTTGCACCTTTGATAATAATGATCATGATAGTTTTGTATTTTAGTTCAATTCTGTACAATAATGTGATCTAGATGCTTGTAAATTAAATTTGTGTAATTTTAATATCTGTGCAATAGATAACAATTTCTCCCAGCTTTTGATTTAGTCCCTTCTACTTCTTTATTGTAAGAAATTGTTGAAAATCAAATTCCACTCAAAACTTGCTTTTGATGTTATTGTCTTTCATTTCATTTTTATGTGGATTGCTTCATTGATTCTCAAGAGCTTATTTACGTGGATGTGGTTTGGGTTTTCAGGATTCTCCTACTGAAACCCTCTTTCGGAAAAATGAAGATACTGCTTTGAGGATTGGCGATTTCTGCATTACCTGGTATGCGCAAATTCCCCTTGGATTGATTAATCGAAGATATACTCCAGCATTTATAAATAAAAAAAAAAAAAAAAAAAACCGAAGTATATCGAATCCATATTGTTTGTCCACTCAATTCAATTTCTTGTTTTTGGATTCTTTAAAGTTAAAATTTCATATTTTAAAATTATTACTACTTTGAGAAGGTATTCTTAAGTCAAGTCAAGAATTTTTCTTAACCTGCTTAAAGAATCTTTAAAGGTGTTAATTAATGTTTATATGAGTTTATCGCATCTATTTTGGGTGCTGCTAGTTTTAATTCTTTTATTTTGTGGTAATAATTGTACGTTGATCAATATACTTGTTTTTCTTGTATCGTAGTCATGTTTCAATGTTTTATTTATACTTTAGGTTCATTATGTTGTTCTTGCTTGAGTTAACGTTTCTTCTTGTTGTTATGTTTTATGTTTGTATCTAAGCTTTTCTTTACTTAGGTTTGTGTTTCTACAAGTATTGGGAGAACTGCTAGCTACTCCCCATTGATTATGGAACCTAAATGTTATTTTCTCCTATTGAGTTTGGGCAGAGGGTAGAGTGTTTAGGTTGTTCTGCCTCGTTGAAAGTTTTCATTGATCATTTGAGATTTCTTTTTCTTTATTATTTTTCTTTAATTAATTAATTAATTTTATTTAGTTTTTAGTAACCCTTATAGTGACATTCCATCTCGACGATATTTTCACTAACATCTCGCCTTCTTTTTAGACGGGGTGTTACACATATAGCCAACTAAAAGGCAAGCTTCAGCGCAAGATATCAGAAGTAAACTTCCGAGCCGGGAAGATCAGGGCATCCTTGAAAGGAGACATGAGCATTTCACCTCCTCCTCCGGTATGCCCCTTTTTCTAGAGTTGGTTCCTTTAAATAATTGTCTTTCTTGCTAACTTATTCAACTTGTTGATAAGTATATTAGGTGACTCGTACTTCGTAGCTTTGTCCGCCCGATCGGGCGGACATTGCCCGGTCTGACCGGGCGGAAGAAGAAGAGGTGCCTGGCAAATTCGTTGAAGAAGCTGCTCTCGCGCCCGACCGGGCGAGCCTTCGCCCGACCGGGCGAGCCTTCGCCCGACCGGGCGAGCCTTCGCCCGATCGGGCAGACCTTGCCCGGTCTGACCGGGCGGTGGGGGTTGGATACGTTGAAGCATTCGTATGGAGTTTTCTTCTCGCGCCCGATCGGGCAGACCTTGCCCGGTCTGACCGGGCGGAGAAGGAAAAATGCGGAGACGCGGATTTTACGATTTAAAGTTATCTTTTATGTTATCTTTTTGCCCAAGTATCTTTTATTTTAGGGATTAATATAAAACCTCCCTAATATCAGTATTAGGGTCAGAAGAGAGACAGAGTGAGAGCCGTTCTTGAGAAATACAAGAATCATCTTTGTAATCTTTGCAGTTTATAGTGAAATCATTCGATCTCGGTGCCCGTGGACGTAGCTATCACATCGATAGTGAACCACGTAAATTCTTGGTGTTGTTCTTATTGTTTGCATTGAATTTCTTTATTGTTTTCTTGTTTGTTTACGACCTTTGCTTCCGCTGTCGCACAACAATTGGTATCAAGAGCTCAGGTTCAATCCTTGGAGAGTTTCTTGAAGATAACAATGGCAGGAGATTCAACAATAAGAATTGAGAAGTTTACCGGGAAAAATAGTTTCGGGCTATGGCAAATTAAGATGAAGGCTCTGTTAAAACAACAGCAGATATGGCGTCCGTTGGCTCCAAAGAGTACTACTTCGGAGTCAGGAGACGGACCGACTGACTCGCAGTTAGAAGTTATGGAAGAGAAGGCACACTCTACCATATTACTTAGTCTTGATGATCAAATCATCACGGAGGTGGCTGATCAGGAAACGGCGGCTGGATTGTGGCTGAAGCTGGAGTCATTGTATATGACTAAGTCGTTGACCAACAAATTATTACTGAAACAGCGGTTGTTTAGCCTCCGGATGCAGTCAGGTACTTCCTTACGGGAACATCTAGAAAAACTTAACTCTATTTTGCTTGATTTACGTAATTTAGATGTTAAAATTGATGATGAGGATGCTGCGTTGATTTTACTTGTATCTCTACCGTCTAGCTTTGAGAATTTTGTAGAGTCTTTTGTTGTTGGTAAGGATTCTATAACCTTAGAAGAAGTGAAGGCAGCACTTCATACTAGGGAACTCAGAATGAAAGCTACGAGTGATAATGGGGATAATGGTAGTGGGTTATTTGTTAAGTCCGGAAAGTCTAAAAAGAATAAGGGGTTTAACAAGGGGAACAATGCTGGGTCGGGTGCTGGAAACGGCAAGGATGGATCTAGTAAAACTACTACTAAAACATGTTATTACTGTAAAGAACCGGGTCACTTTAGGAATAATTGTCCGGTGAGGAAAAACAAGTCCCAGGCTGCTGTAGTTGAAGAGAAACCGAATGAGAGCTATAATTCAGAGGAAGATTTAGCATTAGTCAGTTCTGCTAGGTCTGATGATTTATCTGATAACTGGGTTCTAGATTCGGGGTGTTCGTTCCATATGTGTCCACGTCGAGATTGGTTTGATACATATGAACCTCGCAATGGGGGTATGGTTATAGTCGGTAACAATGCTCCATGTAAGGTCACAGGTATTGGTTCCATGAGGTTGAGGACCGTTGATGGGCGGAGGTTAACTTTGACTAATGTACGGCATGTTCCTGCTTTAGGAAAGAATCTGATTTCATTGGGTACCCTGGATGAATTGGGGTACAATGGTGTGTTTTCAGATGGGGAGTTGTGTATTTTCAGAGGTTCGGAGTTGGTACTTAAGGGTATCAAAAGGAACACCCTCTATGTTTTTGAGGGTGTTACACTGCCTAGTTCTGCGGTTTGCGCATCTGTATCTCACCAGGAGATGACTAAGATTTGGCACATGAGGCTTGGTCATATGGGGGAGAAGGGGATGCAGCTATTGTCCAAGAGGGGTCTTCTATCCGGGGTCAAGGTTGCCAACCTTGAATTTTGTGAGCATTGTGTGTTTGGTAAGAAACACAGGTCAAAGTTCAGCAAGGGTGCTCACATTACTGATGCAGTGCTCGATTACATCCATTCAGATTGCTGGGGTCCATCTAGAGTTGAAGGTATGGGAGGTTACCACTATTTTGTGTCATTTGTTGATGACAAGTCCCGATACACATGGCTTAGGTTGCTTAAGTCAAAGGATGAGGCCTTCAAAGTTTTCAAGCAATGGAAAGCTTTGGTGGAAAATCGACAAGGAAGGAAGATCAAGAAGCTACGAACGGACAATGGGCTAGAGTTTTGCAAAGACGAGTTTAATCAGTTCTGTGCAGATGAGGGTATAGGTCGGCATCATACTGTCAGGAAGACACCACAGCAGAACGGTGTAGCAGAACGGGTTAATCAGACACTGCTAGAGAGAGTTCGATGCATGCTCTCTAATGCAGGGCTTGGGAGGAGGTACTGGAGTGAAGCTGTGTTAACAGCTTGTTATGTCATTAATAGGGGTCCTCATTCTGGAATTGATTCCAAAATTCCGTTTGAGATCTGGAGTGGTAAGTTGCCTAATTTTTCGAATTTGAAGATTTTTGGTTGTGTTGCTTATTATCATGTTATTGAGGGTAAGCTGGATCCACGAGCCAAGAAGGGGTGTTTTGTTGGGTACGGGGATGGTGTGAAGGGGTTTAGAATTTTTTCACCTTCGGAGGGTCGGGTCATTCTTAGTAGGGATGTTACTTTCGATGAAAACACCATGTATTCAATTAAAAATGCAGAGATTTCAGATTTGAGAAGGGAAGTAGACAATTTATTACAGACAGATGGGGTACTTGAGGTACATCAGTCTACCATTGCTGATTTACCTCGGGTACAATATATTGATGATGATGCTGATGTTCCAGTGCCGGGTACTCCTGAACCTGAGATTACTCCTACTCATTCTAACTCTGGGGATGAGGTGGAGCAATCTAATCAGGGGTCATCTAGTCAACCTGACACCATTCTTGAGATGCCTAAACGAGTTATCAAGAAGCCTGTTAGATTGATTGAAGAGATGGAGGGAAGAAATTGCTGTGTTGATGCGATGACAGGTTATGCATTGAGTGTAGCTGATGATGTAGAGTCATTTGAACCTGCCACATATAAACAAGCAATTAGTTGTAGTGAGTCTGCGCAATGGCTTGCCGCAATGGGTGAAGAGATGCAGTCCCTTTACAAGAACAGAGTGTGGGAACTGGTAAAGGTACCGGAAGGGAGGAAGCTTGTGGGTTGTAAATGGATTTACAAGAAGAAAGAAGGGTTGTCGGAAACTGAGCAAATACGTTTTAAGGCTAGGCTAGTTGCTAAGGGGTTCAGTCAGGTAGAAGGGGTTGACTTTGTTGAGATATTCTCACCTGTGGTTCGACATACTTCTATCCGTGTGTTATTGTCAATTGTAGCACATTTTGATCTTGAGCTGGAGCAGTTGGATGTTAAAACGGCCTTCCTTCATGGCGATTTGGAGGAGGAGATTCTGATGAAGCAGCCCGAAGGATTCGAAGCTCCTGGAAAGGAACACTATGCCTGCAGATTGCTAAAGTCATTGTATGGACTTAAGCAATCCCCCCGACAGTGGTACAAAAGGTTTGATTCTTTTATGGTTTCACAAGGTTTTGACAGGAATTCATATGATTGCTGTGTGTATCATAGTAAGCTGGATAATGGTTCCATGATTTATCTTTTGTTATATGTTGATGACATGTTGGTTGCCACAAAGAATAAATCTGATATTGCTAGATTAAAGGAGATGCTTAACTCGGAGTTTGACATGAAAGACTTGGGTGCAGCTAGGAAGATTTTGGGTATGGAGATCTACAGGGATCGGGCTAGAGGTAAGCTTTTCTTGACTCAGAAAAGCTACATTGAAAAGATTTTGTCTCGTTTTGGGATGGAAAAATCGAAGCCTATAAGTACGCCAACTACTGTTAGTTGTAAGTTGTCTTTGTCTATGTCACCTCAATCAGAGGAGGAGTTGTCTTATATGTCTAGAGTTCCATATGCAAACGCGGTTGGTTGTTTGATGTATGCTATGGTCTGTACTAGGCCGGATATTGCGCATGCTGTTAGTGTTGTAAGCAGGTTTATGGCTCGACCTGGGAGGGAACACTGGCAAGGGGTGAAAAGGATTTTTCGCTACCTGAGAGGGACAGCTGATATTGGTCTTGTGTACGGGAATGATAAGGAATGCTTGGTCACTGGGTACAGTGATTCTGATTATGCAGCTGATGTGGATACCAGGAGGTCTGTGACTGGTTATGTGTTCACTTTGGGTGGTTCTGTGGTTAGTTGGAAGTCTACATTGCAGTCATCAGTTACGTTGTCAACTACTGAAGCTGAGTATATGGCTCTAACTTCTGCAGCTAAGGAGTCTATTTGGCTCAAAGGCCTAGTAGGTGAACTGGGTATTGCACAGGATTTTGCTACAGTGTATTGTGATAGTCTAAGTGCGATTTGCTTAGCTAAAGATCAAGTACACCATGATCGGACGAAGCACATTGATGTCAGGTATCATTTCTTGCGTACTGACAAGAGGATTAAGGTGAAGAAGATTGGGACTGCTGACAACCCGGCTGATTTCTTCACTAAGCCTGTTCCGTTTAGCAAGTTTAAACATTGCTTAGACTTGCTAAATATTGATTACTACGTGATGTAGTAGGCCCTGAGGGGCGAAGTTGGGGAGCTCCTGGTGTAGGTGTGTTGGCCTTAAGGTGGAGCTTGCCCGGGGCTTGTGATGCAGGTGGAGCATTATGAGTTGTTATACTTGGAGACGAGTATGTGATGGGTCTTGGTTGAAGACTTATCGGGATGTATGGCTTATGCATGAGTCTTGCATCGGGTTTGGCTTGAGATGTTTTTTCACTATGTCTTGATGGGGTCGTTTGCTGACTACGAGTTCTCGTCAAGGTGGAGATTGTTGATAAGTATATTAGGTGACTCGTACTTCGTAGCTTTGTCCGCCCGATCGGGCGGACATTGCCCGGTCTGACCGGGCGGAAGAAGAAGAGGTGCCTGGCAAATTCGTTGAAGAAGCTGCTCTCGCGCCCGACCGGGCGAGCCTTCGCCCGACCGGGCGAGCCTTCGCCCGACCGGGCGAGCCTTCGCCCGATCGGGCAGACCTTGCCCGGTCTGACCGGGCGGTGGGGGTTGGATACGTTGAAGCATTCGTATGGAGTTTTCTTCTCGCGCCCGATCGGGCAGACCTTGCCCGGTCTGACCGGGCGGAGAAGGAAAAATGCGGAGACGCGGATTTTACGATTTAAAGTTATCTTTTATGTTATCTTTTTGCCCAAGTATCTTTTATTTTAGGGATTAATATAAAACCTCCCTAATATCAGTATTAGGGTCAGAAGAGAGACAGAGTGAGAGCCGTTCTTGAGAAATACAAGAATCATCTTTGTAATCTTTGCAGTTTATAGTGAAATCATTCGATCTCGGTGCCCGTGGACGTAGCTATCACATCGATAGTGAACCACGTAAATTCTTGGTGTTGTTCTTATTGTTTGCATTGAATTTCTTTATTGTTTTCTTGTTTGTTTACGACCTTTGCTTCCGCTGTCGCACAACACAACTTGTGTTTTGTCTTTCAGAATTCGAAGTCAATGAATAAGCCAACTGAGAGGGGGGTGAAGGATCTTCCCAAGCGACGACGATGGAGTTGGATGATCAGGGGTCTCACCATGCTTCCCCAGCGGACTCACGCCATATTGAGCTTTTGGAAGCTGAAGGCTATGGGAAGCAGGGAAAACGACCTCGCATTGAGGAAGGGAGTAAGGCCGAGGACCCCAAGCCACCATTGTTTCGCGAGCCTTTCTTAACTTTGACTAAGTCGGGGCGTAAATCTATGGTGAAGGATCTCATGCCCCGCTTCTCTTCGCCGGGAGACTTTCAGGCTTTGAGGAGAGACCCGTCCAAGTTTGTCTCCTCTGCTTTTGATAGTATCTTGAAGGTATATATTTTTACATTTTACAATGGTTTTCTATGTCCTTGGGGTTATGCTAACCATCCGTTATCCTTTTTGATGTAGGTCGGCGTGACTTTGAGCGTGCTGGCCGAGGAGTACAAGAGGTGTGCCGTGCAGGACATGGAGGGACTGCGGGTAGAGTTATCAGAGGCTCGGACTCAGATTCATGATCTGAAACTGGAGCTCAGCTCGGCCAAGGATGCACTGGAAAAGGCCAAGCAAGACCTTACTGACGCCCAGGAGGCTAAGAAGACTAGCATCCAGGCGGTTGAGACTAAAGTTGCTGAGGCCAAGGAGGAGAAGAAAAAGATGACCGAGATGCTTAAGAAGAAGGAAAATGAGCTGACAGACCTGAAGAAAGAGTTGACTCAGGCTCGGAAAAGAGCGGAGCAGTCCCAGGAGGAGGTGATTGTTGAATGGAAGAAGTCTCCCGCCTTTGTTGATTTTCAGAATGAGCTGGGATATGAGGCCTTCGAGGCGGGGATTGCAGATGCTCTGGCCCACATGGAAATGACTTTTGCTGCCCTTGGTCTACAAGAATATTATCCCAAGGTGCGGGAGAAGGTTAGGGATCTCCTCGCCGCGACTGAGGCGGAGGAACGGAGGAAGATCTTGGCTGACATGAACCAGCAGGGCGGGATCGATGGATAGCTTCTCTAGCTTGGCCTTTTGCATTAGATTTTGTTGATGTTTCTTAGGATGCATTAAACTTGTGGCACTTTGTCTTTGTTTCAATGAACTTTTAACTTATCTTTTGATGTAATGAAACTGCATATCCTCCTTTGGCTTGGTTTTATTGACGTAACGGAGTTGCATGTCTCCTTTTGACTTCTTTTTTGTTGAGTTTTCGCACTTTGCTTGATTCCCTAGGGATTATTGAATCATAGGGGCCAAAAATCCTCTATTAATTGACAAGTAATCCTAACATGCTATTCTTGCTTTTTCGGGTTAGGTGGGGGCTAAACGAGCCCCATATTATTGATGCATGAGAAATGGTGTTGTTTTTTAGTTTTTATCTTGTATTTTTAAAACTCGTTGAGGGGCTAAACGAGCCCTTAGTTATATATATTATATTGATGGACTTCGATAAAAGGTTGGTTAGGGGCTAAAACAAGCTCCAAGTTGGGAGTTTTATGAGAGTAATGCTATTCCAATTCTTTAGAATAGGATGAGGGCTAAACGAGCTCTAAGTTATTGAGAGTCTAATAGCTGAGCTTGCCCCTCTTTGAAGCGGGCTAAGGGCTAAACGAGCCCTGACAGACTAAAGTCATATCACCTAATCAAAACTATTACCTAAGTCCTCTAACTAATGTAGATAGGGAAGTAGGGTCGAATCCACAGGAAAACAAGTCTTTCTATTCCTAACTAAATTAAATAATCTAGATTATCAAGTAACAAAAATTGTTGTTATTAAAAAGGAACTAAATTAAGGAGATTAAGAGTAGGGAGAAATCAATTAATAAAAGGCCTAGGGTCATAGGTTCACCAATAATTAATATTTCGGGATAAAACATAACAACCAATAATTAACATTGCATAAACATGATTAACAGGCTCTCGCAATTTATTAATCAACATATATCTAACAGGCTCTCGCAATTTACTAAATTTAAGTTCCTATTGAAAATAGCCTTTAATATCAAATTAACATCTGCTCGATTCATCAATTCAATATTGATATACTTTTACAAGCAAATCACAACTGCTCGATTCATATTTCGGTTGTAAAGCGTTAAAACAAATCAATAAGAAATTATCATGCAATATCAATAATCAACAATAACAAATTATCCCTTCATATTAATTACGGATCCCTAAGAACCCTAGAATTAAACTACTCACACATAATCAAATCTAAACTAAACAAAACAATTAAATAATACATGATCAAAGAAAGAGAATAAAACACTGAGATTAAAAGAGAAGAAATTGTTACCAAAGTTAAGGGAACAAGGGATGGAATTAAACCAAGAGTTGTAGAGAGAGAAAATAATACTAAGAGTTTTAGAGGAGAGAGAGAGAGAGAAAAGTTAGAGAGAGAAAGAGAAAAGAAAACTAAAACTAATTAAAAGCTAACTAAAACTAAACTACATCTAATCACCCCAACCTACATACTACTACTCCTTTTATAAGGAAAGTCCACTAAAACAAATTCCCACTAAAACAAGGAAATCAACATCTGGAGGAGTTAGCGAGCCCAATAACTAATAAGCCCAATAGCTCAAATAATCTGATGCATAAGCTATTTACAAATTTTTACCTACACTCTACGGCAGGGACACTGCCTGCACCCCCCTTCCGCGCGTGTCCCGCCCCCATCCCTTTTCATTTATGAATTTTCTGTAAATTTTTTATAATATGTTCATTTTTGTATTGGTAAATGTTCATTTATAAATCATTAGATGTTCATTTTTATAATAAGGAGTTTTTGTTCAAATTGATATATTTTATGAATTGCATTTTAAGAATTTTTTTATCAATAAAAATGAGAGAAAATTTATTTATATGGATTGTTGCGTTCAAATCATTTTTATTATTAGAAGTATTGCATCATCCAATGTACATTTTTGTTTATTCGTGTTTCAACATATGTTCATTTTTGTATCATTAAATGTTCATTTCAAAAAGCTATGTGTAAGTTTTATAGTAAGATGTATGCAAATACATACGTCTTAGAATTGTATTTATATAAATAAAGAGTTGTTAAAAATAATTTCCAACATAAAATAAATTCAATTTAATTACAATAATAATGCATTTCCATACAGTTATACTATTACATGTAATTGTTTCATAAACACGAAAGTGAACATTTTCAGCATCCAATGTTCATTTATATTTAATGTATGTTTTCTGTAGTAAAATATAGGTTTATTGTAGTTGTATTTAAATATAAATGTTGTACACGTGAATTTCAATAATTTTTATTCTTTTAAAGACGCTCATATATATTTTAACTAGTGAACATATTTTAAAATTTGTTATTTTGTGTATTTGTAATAATGTTCAATTATGCAATTATAAATGTTCATATGTATTATAAATGTTCATATGTGTGTGTGTGTGTGTGTGGGATTATAAGTTGTACATGTGACTTTTAATGATTATCAATGTTTTGTAGTTTCATAAATAATGTTCAGTTATGTAACAATAAATGATCATATATATTTTTACATATGGTAATTTAACTGTAATTGATCAAATGCATTATTGTGATTGACCATTATTGTAACTGTATGTGTTCATTTGTTACATGTTTAATTATTGCAGTGGGAAAAAGAGAATGCTATTATTTTTGAAGAAGCAAGTCAATTTGATTTTTGGGGAAAACAATTTCCTTTTGAAGATGATGCATATGAAATGTATAATGAGTATGCTTTTATGAAAGGTTTTGGTATTAGAGTTGGGAGTAGTAAAAGGCAAAGGAATGACTCATTTTCTACGAAAATATATATTTGTTCTAATGAGGATTGTTAGAAAGATAACAAGTGTAGAAATATTATGTCCTATGAGAGACTTGATACAAGAACTGAATGTTTAGCTTTTGTACAGTTTTCTATTGATAGTGTCAAATATTCTAATATATATAGTTAGTGAATAATGGTTCAAAGTCGACAATAATTGTAAATGCTCAACCACAAATTCAAGTTGTTATGAATATTTAGTTTTTTGTTTATGAACATATTGGTTTCCTAATATGAACATTATATAAGTCATCAAAAAATATGAACATTATATATACTTTGGGAAAAAAAAAGTTTATTTCCTTTTAAATGTTTGCTTTTGAAGGATGTGATTTGTAATAATACTTTGGGAAAAAAAGTTTATTTCCTTCTTATTAAAATCAAATAGAAATTTTATATCACCAAAAATTAAAATATTGGATATTAAAATATACAACACAATTCCACACATATTATTATACATACTGAATTCTCGATCCAAAATTGAAAAATACAAGCTCATGTTATTGGTTCATGTTGCGCAAATCCATGTCTTCTTGATTAATTTCCTTATTTTTGTCGTCTTCTTTTTTCTCTTTGCTATTATGTTGTGTAACTAACTCACTATATCCACAATTCTTTGTTTAACTAATAGACAAAAACAAATGAATTTTTAGTTAGATTTGAGTAAGAATAAGTGTTGAAATGAACCAATTTTCATATGAATATGAATAGTAGAACAATTGAAATGATCGATATATATGAAAATGAACATTCATCACACCTTTGATATACTAATATACAAATGAACATCTATCAAAATGGAAAAAAAATATTTATTAAATAAAAAACCCACTACGAACTAGTTTAATTAATGCTTACTTTTCTCCAGATTTTCTATGTTCTTCTCTAAAACTATTTCCTTCGTACTGCAATAAAAATGAACATTCATCAAACACCTTTGATATTCTAATAATCGTATGTTAATTAATATGTGAAATTGTGAATGACCTTGTATTATTATGTGATTGAACATTTACCAAAATAAAAACGAACATTCATCAAAATAATTCTCCACTTCAAACTATGAAAAAATGAACATTATTACACGAATGACTATAAATTATTAAATACATATGAATTGAATGATTTATGAGCATTTGTATTAATTAAATGAGAGTTTTTTCGAAAAAAAAAACATGTGAATGATAGTATACTAATGTATAAATGAGCATTTATCAAATGGAAATGAACATTCATCAAAAGAAAAATTTCACTACGAATCAATTTTATTAATACTTACATTTTTCCAGAATCTTTGTTTTCCTTCTCTGGAACTTTTTTCTTCGTTGTACAAAAAGAAATGAAGAATGTAATGATTTGATTTACTAGTTTTTGAACAAAAATCACTAAAACTATAGTAAATAATTACATGATGCATTTTCCGCAGTTGATGTTTCAATAATTGTTTTGAAATACAATCACAACAAAAAACAAAAAAAAAAAATTAGTAAACCCTAGGTTTCATACTCTTTTTGAACCAAATATGAGCAAAACCACTTATTCTTTCGAATTTCAATCTTGTTTTGTTGAATTTTGTAGTGATTGAACAATTTTTATTGATAATTTATCTCAAATTCGTAGAAATTTTGGGTTTGAAAAAGTAGATCAATGGGTTTAGAGAGAGAAAATGGGTGTAGAGAGAGAAAATGGGTAAGGAGGGAGAAAATGAAATGAAATGATGATTTGAATTTTTATTTTTAATTTTTTTTTGTTATCTATAGGTGGGAAAAAAGTGTGGTTACTATTCAGTTACTACTCAATTACAGAAAATGGGTTTGTTGAGTTTGTTTATGCATTGTTTAGGGATGGGGGTGTAGGGATATATAGCTACACTAGAGGCTAGGAGTATATAATTAGAAGCTATTCGCCTGACCGGGCCAGGCCTCGCCCAATTGGGCCCGGTCAACTGGAGTTGCGGCTGGGCCTTGCGCCTTCTTTTGCTTTGGGCCATTTCTTCTTTCTTTCCTTCTTTGTCCGTGACACTTGTTTGGTTGTATATTGTGGACTCCTTCACTAAAACCGAACCCTTATTCACCAAACCAAATCCCTTTAACTTGGTCTTGGGCTTTAAATATGTGGTCATAAAATACGATCCGACTCCAATATCTTTGTAGTGGCTCAATAAGCTCGGGAATTGTCATAAATCTGCAAATTCCTACAAAATAAACCAACTCTACAAAAACATTAGACAACGTATATTAGTAATAAAAATAGCTCCGCAGAGCTCAAATAAACACAAATATGACCGTGGGATGGGGAATAAATATATATATATAATAGACTCATCAAACTCCCCCAAGCTAAAACTTTGCTTGTCCTTAAGCAA